ATTATTATTATTATTATTATTATTATTATTATTATTATTATTATTATTATTATTATTATTATTATTAATTATTATTACTGTTATTATTTTTTTAAAAATAATTTAATTTTATATTTTTTTTTGTTAGAGAATATGTGTTGAGAATGGAATGTTTACTTTTGGTTTCTTCAAGGATGGAATTACAAATGTAAGTTGATCATTAATTGGTTAAAAAGGATGGCTTTTACAATTCAATTTAATTTGTTTTTGTTTTTACATTAAAAAAAATTCATTAGTTTCGTGAATGGTTTGATGAGTTGTTGAAAACTTCTTGGCTAGCTTGTCAGGTAAAAAATTAAATAAATCTTATAATGTTTAATTATGTATGCTTTAACATACATCTATTATGTGTATTATCTAAAATATTTATTAGAATACTGATGTATTAATAGAGTCCCCTAGTGCAATGTCTGGAATTCATATCGCCGAAGCTTTAGGTATTTATTACTATTCCTATTATTGTTACTATTTATTTATAATGAGATAATTCATACATTTTATTAAACTTTACAGGCATTCCATATTTTCGGGCATTTACAATGCCATGGACACGGACTAAAGCATATCCCCACGCATTTGCGGTATCTAATTATGATTTAAAAGGTCCGTATAATTACATGTCGTATGTCCTTATTGAGAATGCATTTTGGTTAGCAATTGCACCACAAATTAATCGATGGCGAAAGAATACGTTAAAGTTACGGAGCACTAGCCTAGAGAAAATGGATGCAAACACAGTTCCATTTTTGTATAATTTCAGTGATCGCATTGTACCTAAGGCACCTGATTGGGCTGATTGGATACACGTAACAGGATATTGGTTTTTGGACAACCCCGAAATTGGATGGAAAGTACCACAGGATTTGATTGATTTCATAAAAAAGAATCACGATGATAAGAAAAAAATAGTTTATATCGGATTTGGATCAATTGTTGTAGACGATCCACAAGCAATGACAAAAATCATTGTAGAATCTATTAAGAGAAGTGGCGTTGCAGCAATACTATCAAAAGGATGGAGTGATCGTTTACAAAGAACAAAAGCTGATAATAATAAAGAAGAATATCCTTCCTGTATATATCCACTGAAATCCGTACCACATGACTGGTTGTTTCCACAAATTGATGCAGTAGTACATCATGGAGGCGCAGGAACAACGGCAGCAGGACTTCGTGCTGGTAAACCCACTATAATTAAACCATTTTTTGGAGATCAGTTTTTTTGGGGAGAGCGAGTTGAACAAATGGGTATTGGATTTAATCTTAAGAAATTGGCGATCGAAAAATTATCGGATTATCTTGTTGCAGTTACTACAGATGATAAAATGATCAAAAAAGCATCTTTGGTTGGTATAAATATTCAAAAGGAAGATGGCTTAAAAAATGCAATACAAGCAATCTATCACGATTTGGATATTGCTAAAAAGAGAATCAAGGAGCAAAAAACTCGTACCGAAAATGATTCAACTTATATTAACACAGATTTTTCAACGTTGGCAACTGTGAAATTTTTTAAAAGAATTACGACTACACCACCATCAACTCCGTGATTATATTAATCATACTTATAAAACTATTTATTTTGATGTTTTGATATTTTTTTTAATATTAATATTGTAAATAAAATTAATTCTTACGCTAATAATCCATGGCTAGCAAAAATCCATCAATCAAAAGTTGTCTGCATTCAATTCATATATATAAATTTTAATGCAGGGCTATTTGGGTGGCTAATCCGCTATTAATTAACACTAGTGTAACTCTGATTTTTTTTTACTAATAAACATATGGGATAATCACGGAAAGCTTCAGGATCATGATTAGAACCTCGCCCCAACAATCTTTTATAATAATCGAGCCACGCATTTCTCCAAATTTATAAAATCGACCACCCTCAAGTGTGAGCCGTTTTAATTAAATGAGTTGGGACCTGTCATTTTTAAAAATAATTCATTACATAATTGTATATATCAATGTTGTGACCCCTAAACTCTAAATTAGTTTAGGGAGTTTTTAAAATCCTAAACCTTACCCGAAACCTACTCTTACCAAAACCCTATACCAGTGAAATTCAGGGTGCGGACGCAGCATGTTACACTAAAAATGTGGATCATTTTATGTGCAAATTATAATACGTAGTACCAAATAAAAATATTCATTTTTGACACAGATGAAGACTTTTAATTACTCAAACATATCCCTCCTAATTAAAATATCTCTAATTATATCTCTTTCAAACGCTAATGCAGAAAGAATATTTTCCCAAAAAAAGTTGATTAAAGAATAAATTAAGGAACAAAATGAATCTTGATACATTAAATGGGGCATGCTGCAACAAAACCAGACAATGTGAACATTTGTATTACCAAAATTTCAGGGGTCAATATCATTTTTTAACATCACAATTGTATTACCAATGTAATGTGATCAATGATA